GAGAAGCAGCAGCAGCAGTGTGGCGGCGGTGGTAATCGCAGAAGTTGCGTGGTGGCCCTTCCTGCTGTTACCCTTCACTCAAGAGACCGGCCTGATTTAGGATGAAGCTCCAGAAATTGTGGGGCCAAAACTCCCCCGTGTCTGAGCCCACATCTCGCACAAGACTCGTGGGTTGCTGCAGAAATCTCGAGCGATCAGCACGCAAACCTTGTCTCACAGCTCAGGCCGTTCACTTGCCCGTGTCCCCAGGGTTCTCATGCCCTGAGCTCAGACATGACTGTCTTTGTCGCGGTCTGTGGCGATCAATGCAGAGGTCCGATGTCAGGATGAGTGAAACTGGATGCATGGTGCACTAATTTTGGAGGCACCTTGCTTCTCTTCGAACAAGAGTGTCAGAAAGATGTACAGTTGAAGAAAATGCGGGCCATCTGTTGCAACATCTTAATTTGTGATGACATACTCATTCTCATGAAGTCACCGTTGCCTTGAGCCAACGGGGCTAAGCTTGCGAAAGAAGTGTACCGACATGCACACTTCCCCTTGGAAACCACATCCCTGCCCTTACTCCACATCCCTGCCCTTACTCGAAAACTCGCCTGGCCTAGTTTCGGACAGGCACGAACAACTCAAAAGATGCGTCCTCTGTACGCCTTTGGGGCAAGGACTTGCTGTGGGTCGGCCCATCAGACCCCTTGTCTGAAACTGCCCCCAGACAGCTCGATGCGGGTCTGCCTCGGGGAGCAAAAAAAATCATCGAAATCCGTACAAGTCAGACTCAAGTACTTTCCATGATCGTCGATGGCGTTCGTTACATCTAGGTGGAAGCTGATGCTTTGCAGAAGCATCGAGGCCAACCATGTGCTCTTGCTTGATCAAATAGCTTACACACCTTTGCGATACACTTTCATTTAGTCTGACTGTCCCATGTCCTGTCAGAACGTCTCTGGTGCATGCAGGCTTTGCTCAGGTCTGGAACCATTCACGGAGCAGCCTGAGCAAAAAAGAGGCTTGAAATCTTGCCTTCATTCTGGGACATGTCCAGTGATTACGAGACTGGCAGCGACCAGCAGTTCGGGGCGCACACATACTCGTTGCATGCCGAGGAGTAAATGCAGAGCATGACTGTCCAAGTCCAATCGTTGCAGCCCGGCGGCCACGCAGACGCTTTTGCTTTTCCTTCTGAGTTTGTGTCCGTGGACAGTCCTTGGTTAGGGAACCGGGCTGCAGGCCGGGTGCTTTGGATGGCTCCAGTTTCGACTTGGGGAGGGTCCGTATTTGATCCCTTCTCTACCTAATCACGGACCCAGATCGAACATCGAACGCAGCCGTCCCAAGGCCCTCCGAACGAACTCGTCTTGTGTCTTGCCCTCCTCTGGCTTAGCTACAAGCGTGCCTCCTTGCTACAGTTCAGCACTGCACAGCAAGCCTGCGAGCCACAACCGAAGCTTCAAGCAGTCGCTTTAGGTTTGCTGGTCAGAAACCATTATTGAAGCGCCTTTCAAAAACGCCCAGAAGGCTTAGGAGCTTCAAGGCGCCAAAAGGATACGAGATTCTGAAGCCCATCAGAGTGTCTCACTGACCGCCATCCAAGGTGGCGTCCGCTTCGTCCTCCTGCAATTGTCCAAGGCGTTGGGGGGCTCCATTGCGGCTTGAGGGTTTAGGGTTTAAGCAAAGTTTCACGGTGTGCTCGAAAGTCTCCAAGTGTGGTGAGCCTCGACACACTCCAGACACAAGTCCAAGCAGGACGGTGCTTTCATAGATTCGACAACTACAAGCAAAAGTTTTGGAGGGTCTAGTTCAGGTAACAGAAACCTTTACACAGCTGAGGTTTCGAGGCGGTAGTGCTCTAGCATGGCTGACGGCTAGCCGTCAAACCTCTTGAAGAATGCGGGCCTGTTTGTATGCGAGCACTCGACAGGATGCGCCGGCAGGCACATGACCTTGCAAGCCTCTAACCCCCCATCTTCTCTGCGCGATTCTCGAGGAGAGACAAGCCCAAAAGCGGACAAGCCTGGTAGAAAGATCCGGAAAGGAAACAAAAAGACACGCTGTCCGATGTCAAACAAGAGTCGTGGGAGCCCACCTTCCACCCCGAAACCCAACTTGTAAAGCCCAAGCCGGGTCCTTTGCTCGCTTGAGGGCATCTTGCACATCTGCCACAGAGATCATGGGAGGCACGGTCATGGCATCCCCTCAGGTTGTGAAGGGTCTTCCTAGGACCGCCCAATGTAGACCCCATTTGGGGTCTGAAACGGGGTCTGCCTAGAGTGTTTCGTGTTTCTGCCGACGACCCATTTCAGACCTCTACCGGGCAGCGGTTTGTGCCGCAACATGGGCACTGTCATGCATGGCATACCTTGATATGCTGTATCATGCGTCTGGTCTTGCATGCCCAAACCCGGACATATCCGAGCGTTGACCCCGACCACCTGAAGCTTGCTTCGCGCTTCGACTACAAGCCGGTTCTTGTTCAGGCTCTGTCTCTCTCTCGCTCTCCCTCTCTCTCTTCTCTTTCCTTTGATGTTCTCTCGTCTCTCTTTTCTCCCTTCGCTCTCGTCTCCCGCTCTCCCTGGTTTCGCCCGTCTGACAAACGGACAAACCAAGAAAGACAGAGAGAAGAAAGAAAGAAGGGAAAAACGAGCAAAGCGAGCAGAGGGAAATGAATGGCATTTCCAGAAACGGTCGTTCTATGGCCTCTGCCTCATTGCACACCAGGCTCTTGGAATCCCTAACACAAAGGCCGACCCAGAGCACGGCGGCGACCCATTCCCCCAACCATAAGGAGGGAGCGAATTCGATCTGGCGAGATGCGACGGCTGCAGCTCAGTGAGCCCCAGGGTTTAGGGATCTAGGGTATAGGGTTTGGAGGCGTCTCGGCTCAGGCAAGATTCTGCCCCGTCCCTTTGTGTTCGCCGCGGCATTCGCTTTCCAGACCCTAGCACCTCGTGCGCCGCCATTGACATCTGACTGTCTCTGGTATTACTGCTGCTGTTTGATCAGCCAGTACCCCTTTCGGGGCTTCTCTGAGTCGCTGCCTTTCACTAGGCCGACTCCTCCCAAGACTGGTGGGTCTTCGGCTTTCTACCCGCGGCTTGCCCCCGCATTCTGTTGGCCTTTTATCCGCGGCTGGCCCCCGCTTTTGGGTCGCTGCCTCTCAACAGGCCGACTCCAGCTGGTGTGGGTATTGGCCATTTACTGCGACTGGCCCTCGCACTGACTTGGGTGTGAGCCCGTCTGTCCAGGGGCCTGTTTATGGTCACTCGTCCTACTTACTGGCCCATCGCGGTTCTGGCCTGCCTGGGCATTGGTTTGATCTGGCTAGGCCGAGAGAGTGGTCATTCCGAGGAGCGGGTCGCCCCCTTGGCACCGGCGCTTAAGGCGCCGACGAGCGGCAGCCAGGCGCCGCCTACGATCTGGCAGGTGGAGACAGGACGATCTGAGGTTGGTTCACGGCCACCACGGTTCCATGGCACCGAAGAATCCAGCAAAGGAGAAGCAGGGCAAAGGTGGCGGCAAATCTGGCAAAGCAGAGGGACCGCTGCCGGCCACATCTCAAGTACAGCTCGGGTTCCCCACGGAGGTGATCACGGCCCTGCAATCGATACGGGATCGAGCGACCTCCGATCTACGCCTCGACGACTTTACGGTCGCAGAGGATCGCACGCTGATTCAGGCAGCGAATCAACAAGCATCTGCGATCACCAGGGCGACCAAGCGCTTGGAAGCGAATTCCAAGGCGAAAATAGCTCTAGGCCAAGTCTTGGGACAATGGCTCGACCGGGTTGGCCGCCATCTTGCTGCGTGCCTCGCCAGATCAACAATGTGGGGACACGCATCGATGCGGACATCCAGGACGCCACGGCGGCCTTGGATGCTGCCTCCCAGGGTTTGGCAGCTGGGCAAGCGGCCCTTCTCCGCCGATCACAGCCTTGGTTGGAAACGAGGAGCTCCGCATTGCTGCCGAGCTGAGAGCGGCAGCCGCGGTGTCCGCCGGAAGTTCCGCGACCGTGCCGATGCTGGGTGGACAGTTCGGCTTGCCAGATGGTACAGGAGCAGGCCCCATCGACCCCAACGCCGCGGCGGACATGGCTTTTGGGGGAACAGGGAGCCTCATGGAGGATGTCCTTGTCGATCCACTATCCAGGCCGCCTGCTTCGCCTGGCCCTGGTCCTGGTCCTCCTGCAACAGCCTCGCTGGGTCGAGGTGGGCGCAGAAGAGGGCAACAGATCCTGCAGCCTCCCCCCAGAAGAAGCGAGCCTCCTACAGTGGACAGCGCCGGGGTAGTCGACGAGCTCGCGGTTCCATGGCACAGGACTGTCACGGGCAGGTCCCCCTTGGGCCACAAACCGGTGCCTTTCTCCCAGCTGGGAGAGGTCATCACCCAGCTGGATACTGGAAGCGGCTTGCCAACACAAGGAGCTCCGGACACCGCGGAGCCGCCCGCAGCTGCACCCATGCCTGCAGAAGTGAAGGACTCCGACCAAGGCGAAGCAGACTGGATGGCGGCCCAACAAGCATGGCTCCTGTCCTGGATCGCGGTGGCGCAACGCCTTGTGGTACAAGGCCGAGATTTGGTTGTTCGGGATGTGCCGCGCTTCCCGGACATGCGGCGACCGAAGAGGAGATCCAGAGTTTCCATGGCATTGCGGAGTCTGTTTGGGAAACTCTGGTCGAGCATGCGCAGAGCCCCGATTGAGTGACAGGGCCCCACGTTCTGCATATGGTCCAGGATGTGCAGCGCCTAGGAGGCATGGTACACTCCCAGCCCATCCTGGCTACCTCTTGCAGGCAAGGTGTCATTGCTCTGGCCCACCTCCTCAATTCGAGGATTCTTGGCCTGGACGGCTTTGCGCCGCAAATGCTGCAAGAGTGGGCAAACCCACACGAGGTCCTAGGCCGAGGTCTGATGCTTCACGGACATCTGGCTACGGTCAAGACAGAAGACGAAGCCGAGGCTACTATCCTCGACCAGGACTGCCCCTTCTTCTGAGCCGTAAGGCATGGTCGGCTCGCGCAAGGGAAGTGATTGTGACGCTGGACAAGAAGGTTGTACAGACCTTTTGGGTGTTATGTACAGCTGTAGCCGTCGCCGTGCTGCTCTATCGAGCGGTCGGCTTCTGCGTGGAAGCTGGTGCCCCTTGGCTTGCTGCACAGATTCGGCTGCCGTGGAAAACTTGGATGCAAGCCGCACAGATGTGATTCTCAAGCAACACAAGCACCTCGAAGTCGGAGGAAGTTATGTCCACAAGAACCACGGCTCCCAAATCTTCACCATGCTAGGCTCCCAAATCTTCACCATGCTAGGTGTGCAGAATGACCAAGTCCAGTTTCAGCATGTTCCCTTGGTGGGGGCCCCCGTGATCGTGGAGGTGCCTGCCTCTGCTGAGTTGGCGAATTGGAAGAGGACGAAGAAAGTCCAAGCGACAGTGCTCGATGCTGAGATAGCCAAGCAGTACTTTGTGTCGGCTAGCACAATTCAAGCTGAGGCATTTGAGCTGGGGCAGGCTCAGCTAGAGTTGTATCGAGAGTTTAGCGGCAAGCACGATGGCAAAGTCGGGATCAGCTTTGTCACCCCCCCTCCGGGCTTGGTGGTCACGGCCCCCATCCCCAAGAAGTCCCTTGTCCTTGTTGCTTTTGGGCAGCTGAGCAGTGAAGGACGGATGTTGGGTTGGCAAGTACTTGCTGCAGCCCTCCAGACCAGTGTCGGACTTCGAGAAATTGGACGAGAAGACATTGCTCGTGCCATATTGGTATGTGCGGACCACGAACGAGATTGCTCAGGTCAATATGACCAAAGTTCAGCAGCAGCTCGGTACCTTGACGGTGCCGAGCTTCCTGAATAAACGGGATCTCGCAGTAGGGGAGCTGTTGTACACCGCTAGTGACTCATTGATCCAGAAGGAGCAAGCACCGGCTCCTGTATCCAGTAGTCCTGTAAAGCGGCTGCGAACGAAGGGTTCAGCCAACATCTAGGCTCCAAGCAGAGTTGCCACCCGATCTCAAGGGAAGGATTTTTGAGCAGCCATCCGATTTTGCAAGGAGGTAGAAACACACTCGAGATGTCACGACGACCGCTCTCTCGCACAGCCAGGGTTTAAAAACAGCTTGCATGCAGTCAGAACACAGCTGGAGATGTTTTGAATGATTCCGCCTCTTCATGAGCTTGAAGCTTTGTGTGATGCATCATGTGCATGCTCAAGGTGTTAAGTTGTGGCATCCTTGTTGCTTGTACTCGCCGGTAGCCACCGTGATGGAATCCATGGACGTTGAAGTGGCATCTGTTTTGCAGATCAAAACAAAGGACCATCTGCAGGGCCTGGTGGTACCTTCAGATTTGCTGATTGAGCATGAAGAGAAGAAGTATTTGAAGTTGAATGGTAGTCATTGGTGGTTGTGCAAGCTGCTTTGCCCAGAAGTTTACAAAACACAGAAGAATGTCAGCCTCGCCAACACAAGTGCCATGAAAGAGGTGTGTCAGGCTGTTCTTGCAGGCTTCCTGAAAAAGGAAGAGGGGGATGAAGGTGAAGAACTTTTCGACAAGAAGCCGGACGACAAGAAAAGCCTGAAAAGGAAACGTGATAGCTCGGGCCCCCGAGTTAAGAGCATCACGTTGCCGAACGAGGTGGTTGCAGAGTTTTACCTCGAGAACCACCAGAGTTCGTGCCCGGCAGTGTTGGCGGAGCCGGAGTCTCTCGAAGCAGTGCTCGGCTACTTGAAGGCTGGCTGTGAGGATTGTGCCAATGCCGCGACCAGAGCCTACCAGAAGACCGGCAAGTACCGCAAGAAGTGAAGACGTAGGTCGCGAGCTGGCGAAAGGCCACAAAACATGCATCGGCGCTTTTGGCAGACTCCTTGTCGTTGTTGCATGCATGTGTCTGGTTGCATGACAGGAATGCCCAGTTGTTTACTGCTACTAAATAAATGTTTTCGCTTTGAGTTCTGGAATTGCATGGTTGTGCTTGCATGTTTGCTCCAAGCTTGCTGGTTGCAGCTGCATGATTGCATGTTCGGTGGCATGCCCTGGCCATGCATGCATGTTTGCTTGAAGATCGCTGCTTGCAGTTGCATGTTTGCATGTTCGGTGGCATGCTTTGACCGTGCATGGATGTTTGCTGCAAGCTTGCTGCTTTGGTTCAGGGTCTAGGGTCTAGGGTTCAGGGTTTGTAGGGTCTAGGGTCTAGGTTCGAGGGTTAATAAGGGTTGAGGGTTGGAGCATGCCGGTTGCAGTTGCACGACTGCATGTTCGGCGGCGGCATGCTTTGTTGCAGATGGCTTGAAACATGCATGCTGGCAACAACCTGCATGATTGCTTGCAGGCTTGCATGAACCTGCAAGGAGCATGCCTGTGATGCTTCTGATTGAAATTGCTTCTTGCATGCAGCCATGCATGCTTGGTGGCATGTTTGCTTGGCATGCTTGCGAACCTGCATGGCATGTCTGTGTAGACCGCATGACAGACATGCAAGCATGACCTGTGTGCAACTTGCAAATCTGAGGAATCAGTGCCGCATCTTGCATGGACCCTGGCGACACACAGGCCAGTATGTCAATGCCTTTCCAGTGCTGAAGAAGGAATGGCACCCGGACGAGACCAACCCGGTCGACATGTACATGTTCTTTATCAGCAACGGCTTCTGGGTGACAGCCAACCAGGTGGTGGAAAACGACAGACAACCCGGAGCCTGGCAAGATGTGGAGGTGCTGGCCAGTTTGGTGGACAAGGATGGGTTGCCACAAGGCACCTGCTACTGTCCTTGGCAGGGAGAGACCCTGACCTTGTGGAGCCAGGGCCTGTGCCAGCTATCCGTGGAAGTTTTCCAGGTTTTCGGGCAGTCGGCATGGGCCAACGAGAGCTCTTACCTGGGGCAGATTGCCCGCCTCGAGAAGAAGAATGTGCAGCAGGAGCTGCAGATCCATGACCTGCTTCTGCAGGCACGTGGACGAGTTGCAAGTGCTGCATGCCCTTGCATGTTCTCTTGCATGCATGCATGCATGTATGCGGTTGCTGTGTTGGAGGTGGCAGACCTCCAGCGAGCTGCACAGGACCGGCAGTTGCAAGCGGCATGCATGGTTGGTTCATGTTGACAAGCCTGGCTGCATGGAGTTGCGTCAGCATGTTTGTGCTTGTTTGTTTGACAGGATGGCCGCGCAGGTCCGAGCGGGGCGACACCTGAAGCAGGGTCAGTGCCTGCAGCGGCAGACCCCTTTCGGGCGTTGGGTGTTAATCGCCCTCCTGAGATCGGGCCACAGCCCACTTTTGAGTCGCTGGGCATCAATCGCCCTCCGGCTCCGAGGCCTTAGAGAAGAGAGCATCCTCGGGAAGATGGCCGGAAAAGACGAAGGTTTTTATGTTGGGCGACAGAAGAGTAGCCTTTCTCGTGACTCAGTGGGTCTTCGCTTGCATCCAGCTTGACATGTGACAGCATCCACGGGCAGCTTGAAAGGCTCGTGCAGCAAGACGGTGCATGCCGGTATGCAAGAGCACATGCATGATGCAAGCAAGCAAAGCGGGCACAGGAGGCAAGCAGCACGGACATGCATGGCAAGGCAGCAACATGCATTACATGGTTGCTCATGAGCTACTGTAGAAGCTTTTCAGCTTTGCCTTCGCTCGCCATGGTATTTGGCACCACTCTGGGGCCTGGCACCACTGCAGTGCCAGTAATGGTTACTGGCACTGCTGGAACAGAAGGCGGGCCTCCTGTTCAAGTTGTTCCAGCAGAGACATAGAAGGACATGTGTGTGTGTGTGCAACTAAACAGACATGCATGTATGACAGGACTTCCGGATGTCTCCATGGACGAGTGGACTCGACTTCGAGAGGCCGTCAAAGCAGTCCATGTCAACCCGAAACCCATAATCCTATAACTCGTGGAGGCTGTATTCTTCGACTACTTCCCGGGTGGCATCAAAGACACGTGCGACTGCCTGTTTTTCTGGGGCCCCATGGACCAGAGTCGGGCGACTCTCAGCTGCATTTGTGTCCGTTATAGGGAAGGCTTGAAACTACCTTGGGAGGATCACCCTCGGAGAACTCCTGGTTGCCAGGAGTTTTCCGTGATTGGGTTGCATGTTGATTGCTTGCATGAACTGACTTCACTTGGCTTGCATGTGCCCACATACACCAGTTGCTTGGAGCATGCATGACATGGTTGCGTGTTGCTCTGGAGCATGACTCTGCCAGATTTGGCTTGCACCATGGAGTTTCATTGCTTGTTTATACAATCAAGCAAAGGCAGCAAAAAATTGTCTCTGAGGCCCCGGGGTGTAGAATATTCGGTGGATTGATGAATGGTGAGGCTCGACTGGAACTAGCTGTGTAATTTGTTTGCTCTGTTTGCATGGCGCAGCTTTTATTGCTTGCATGACACGACCACGAATGGCTTGCACGTGCAAGCAACATGTGTTGTCTGTTCCATGCACGACACGACCACGACTGGCTTGCATGTGCAGTCCATGTCTTGCTTTGTGTTTGCATGGCATGCTTCCGTGGTTTTGTTTTGCTTGCTTGGCATGACCAGCCTTGGCTTGCATATGCCTTGCAGCCTGTCTTGCTTGGAGCTTGCATGGCATGCTTGCTTGGGACTGTCCTCCTTGCAGCAGACGAGCAGGATTTGCTTGCATCTGCTTGGCATGTCCTGCTTGGAGCTTTCATGGCATGCTTGTTTGGTGTTGTCTTGCTTGCATGACATGAACAGCATGGCCCTGTATGTTTGTTGCATGTTTTCTCTGGGACCTTGCATGGCATGTTGGTTTGGCGCTGTTTTGCTTCCTTGACAACATCATCTTTGCATCGTCTGCACGTGCCTTGCTTGTGCTTGACACTTGAATGGCATGCAAGTTTCGTCTGATTTGCAGGGCACGACATGAGCAGGATTGGCTTGCAGGTGCCTTGCAGGCCTTCTTTGCAGCTTGCACGGCATGCTTGTTCGTGAGGCATACCTGCTTGCATGGGATGGCCGGAAGTGGCTTGCACATTCCTTGCATGTCTCGTCTCTTGCTGGCATGACACGACTATAGGAGTGGCTTGCATGAGCCTGGCATGTGTTGCTTGCAGCCTGCATGGCATGCCTAGGTATTGTAATCCTGCCTGGCATGTGCTGTATTGGCTTGCATGTGATATGCAGGGTCTGCCTTGAGCATGTTGAGGTTGCATGGGAGGCGCATGTGCCCAGGCCTGGGCACAGTGATTGTCTCATGCAGCAGCAGCCATGCCTCCAATTCGTTTGTGTGTCGACCGGCCAGAGAATTCAGTATACTGAATTCTCTAAGGGCCGGCCGGCCGGACAATTCAGTACACTGAATTCTCCTAGGCCGGAGAATTCAGTGTACTGAATTCTCTGGCCGGCCGGCCCTCAGAGAATTTAGTGTACTGAATTCTCTCCCCGGGCGGCCCTCAGAGAATTCAGTATACTGAATTCTCTCGTTTGTGTGCTGACTTCAAGAATCGCTGTTGCATCTCCTGCACATGTTGTTGGTTTTGGCTCCTGGACATGATCCAAGCAGGACAAACAAGAGCAGAAGCAGTCCAAAGAGTGCAATACCTGCAGCACCACAAGCACACTCAACAGAGTCGGGCTTCGAAACAACCAGAAATAAAAACAGCTTAGAATTCTTGTTCCTGCCATCAATTCGGCAATATGGCTGCAAGTGCCGATGATGACACTGGCGGCTCCACCGGGATTCCAAACTTGCTGGATGCTGCTCTTCGCGAGTTGTGCTTCTTTTACTTGCAGGCACACCTGGAAGCCTCCTTTGGAGACCGCCGGACCTCAAATGCAAAACTGACAAAACTGACACGAGCCAGGCGACAATGGGAACGTGCTGAGATGGAACGGCTCAAGGAGTATGTGAGACCACAGCTTGGCGACAACTGTGAGCAGTTTCTTCTAGACTTCCCATGTTTGGAGAGACTGAATAGAAACATCCCGGAGAATGACAGAAGCTGGCTGGCCCAAAAAGCCAGCCAAACAATTGGTCGAAAACGACACGAAATCCTGGACTGCCTTGGAGACCTGCTCCAGAAGACTTTCGGGAGATGCATGAGCGACGTGAGTTTCGAATACATGGCACGAAGGATGGTGGCTATGGTAGCACATCTGCCTGTCAGCTCTTTCATGGAGGCATTGTATCCTTTCCTTGACGACACAAGCCGCTTCGTTTTCCAAGGGTGGCTCGAAGGTTTTCCATGCACCAACATTGAGGGGGAAGAACAGGCATCTGGCTCCGGAGGACCATGAAGCTTCAAGGGACCCGGCTGTGAGGAATGGTGGCAAAAAGTGTGCTTGCATCAAGACAGAACATGCAGCATTTGTTTCGCTGTTGTAGGCCATAGGTGGCTGTGTGCCAACCGACCAAAGACATGTCGTGCCCGAGCCAGCTTGCTTCTAGCCCGAGGATACACGCCAAGCCTCCGGAGCCTTTCGGCTCGCTGCAATTTTGGCGCCTCTCTCTGTACAGCTCGAGCATGGCACGAGAGGAGACCTGCCGCTTTTTATGTGTGGAGTGGAGTTGAAGCATAGACTGCCGGGACTTGGCCAGGACCGTTCACGATCCCGCAGCCCATTGCGATACAAGTGGAAATGGTGCTGGAAGACGGGTTGGTTCGGCGGAGTTCAGCAGCACGGCAGCAACTGCAGGCTGCTGCCGGTTGCATGAAGCATGCTTGTGTTGCTGCATGAGGATCTGGTGGTGGGTTTATTGGAAGGAGCGAGCAGATGCAGACTGAGCTCTTGAAGAGAGTTTGCGAAGCAATTAAATTTTCTGGTCGGAAAACCAGACCCAGCACTA